CACTGAGTGGGGAGATAAAGCAAACTAGAAACCAGCAGACTGGAAATCTGCTTGCAGCTCTCTCCCTGGTTATTGTGTGGCTGTGGGCAGGTCACTCTCCCACAGTTAATTAGCTCAGTCCTGTAGTTGGTCAAGCAGTCATTGTATTCATCTGCCAGGTTACTCAGAGCCCTTGTTGACATTTCTGATATTTCTGGATGTACGATGTGTAGGGGCTGAAGAGGTGAGGTCACTGTCACCACTGCTTTCAGGGAGTGGGCAGCATCCTAGGTGAAGAGGGAATCATCACACCAATGTGTGTCAAATTACACCTGTCCTAAGCACTATAACATCACACTAGGAGAGTGCTGGCAAAGGAAATCCACTGATTGAGGAGAAAGAGGTTGCCAGTCTACAGTGGGACAAGGAAGAGTGACCCTGGTATGCAGGGCCACATGTAAGAAGTGCTGGGAGGGAGCTACCTCTTCCAAAGACCTCAGCAGAGCTCACTGAGTGGCCCCAGAGTGCAGCAGGGATCATACACCGGGCCGAGGTTCCTATACAGTGACCGAAGTTTCTTCCAGCCACAGTTCTGGGTCATTTTCATTTTAGCCTCAAAGCTAAAGTTGGCTCATTTGCTCTGAGGGCTAAGTACCTTAGATTTTTCCAGAAAGCAGAACAATTATTCAAATAATACATAAAGTAGTCTGTCTTTTTCTGCATATTTGAATCAGATCGCTCTTTGCTTGGCTGGAGACTGCATCTTCACAGGAAGTAGAAAGGCTGGCTGTGGGTGGGCCCAGATTTGGAGCACAAGGAACTCAGGGGCCCTGGGAAAACCAGTTGCCTGAGGATGTCTCCCAGCATATTGTCAAGGCCAGCCCTCTGGAGCTCTGAGGGCAACAATGAAGCCCGAAACCCAGGCTCATGACTTCTGCATCACTTTAGAGCTCAGATGGGGCATCCCTAAGTAGGTCCTCTAAAAACAAATGTAGGCCTATTTATACAATAAAATTGTTTGTTCTCTCTGCCCTCTTCCAAAAGTTCTGTCCACAGACATAAGAAAAGTGAAACATTCAGGAGAATTGTCTATGTAGAGACATCCCAAGGTGTGTTTCTAGGGGCCCAAATGTAGCGCACATATGGTCAGATAAGTTTAGTAGATGTAGAGTCACCTGCATTAGTGTAGGATTTCTTGCTTCTGCATCTGGGGACCTGAAGGGAATGATGAGGGAGGAAAAGTTACTTTGGATACTATATCTAACTGTAGAAAGCCACACACATAGCTAATTTGGAGGGGCTGCAGGACCAAGGTACCCGACAATACACCTGTGAGAAATGCTTGTCCAGGCTTTTCAGAGGATTCTAGAACATAGTCATGTACAGCTTTTCTCAGATGAAGGGAATGGGGACAGAAAGGTCATCCATCACTTTGGGCTGAGGTCATGCAACTAAAGGAAAATCTAGGACCAAGCTCCTAACATCCATTCCAGGACTCCAGGGCTCCCTACCCCAATATGATTTCTTTCACAAATTACAAAAGGAAGGGATGTAAAGAAGGCCCACTTCACAACAGGGTTAACTCTCTGGAGATCAAAGGGGTAGCTCAGTGGTAGAATTCTTTCCTAGCATGTTTAAGGCCCTAGGTTTGATCAAAGCACAACAGTATAAAATAAAATAAAATAGGCATAACTCCAGAAAGTATTTGCTGACCTGTAGGACCTACTGTGTGTCAACACCATGCTAGATACTCTGGACATATATAGCCTGACTTGCTCATAACATGCTGGGATGAATATCTTACCCCACTTTATAGATGAAGGAAATTTTCATAGAGAGGTTCTATTGTTCATTCAATCTCTTTCAGAAAGGAAATTGCAAAGCCAAGGTTTGGATCAAAGTTCACCTGGCTTCCCTTGCATATTGAGTACATCCTTTCATTTTGCCCTTTCACTATCTCTCAGGGACAAAAATGAAATCACAGGAAACAGGAAACCAAACCTTGGGTGCCTTGAACTCAGGGCTCGGGCTCTTCCTGGCTGCATTTGTGTTGTGCTGGGCTCAGCTTTTCACCACGTTAGGAGAAAAGCCCAAGGAGATAGCTGCCTGTGCTCCACCAACGAGTCAAAATGTCCACTTGGCCCCTGCTTGACCCGCTGACAGGAGGATGACTTGTCTGATGAAGTAAGGAGTCCTTGTGCATGTGTGCTTTGAGCCCAAAGAAGCTGTCTGTGAGGAGGCTTTGCCTGTGGCTTGGTCTCCAGCCAGTTTCTCCTTTCACAGTGCAGAAGCCTAGCAAAGCAAAGACTCATTTCCCTGCAAGCTTATTCTCTGGCTTTCCCTGCCCAGCACTTGAAGAGGTAATTACTTGACTCTCAGTATTTTTGGATTTCATGCAAAGGACCGTCGAGCTCTTGGTGGAAGAGGATGGCCTGCACTGTCCTGCCAGGCTATTTTAAGGAGCTTCAGTTGTGTTTCCTCTGCAGGTCATCAGCCCTTAAACAGATATGCCCGTCTTCTGGTCATTTTCACTAATTAAAGTCCAACAGAACCAAGGGACTCAGCTCCAGAGGAAGAGGAAAACCCTGAGAAGCTAGGAAATGTATCAACACAAGGGAGCCTCTGACGCCATCGCCTGGGCTGCGCTGTCCTTCTAAGACCCCTACATCCACACCTTGGAGGACTCCTGTCCCTCCTGGCACCCTGTCATCTGAAGCTTTATCGCCCCCTGGTGGCTCACATTAGAAATGCAACCCACACACATTCACTTTACATTCAGAATAGGATTTCCAGCTGTTTTCTCTCTATGAGCAACATGCAAAAAAGTAAAAAAAAAAAAAAAAAACTAAATTCCAGCTTAAAATAGTCAAAATCTACCCGGTCCGGTCCCTTTCCACAGGGCTTCTCAGCAACTTTGTGCAGTATGACCTTGTGTGTGCTCAGCTGCCTCCAGGAGCCTTTCCTCTGGAACACCTAAGGGTCCCTTGTGCAGCAGAGCTACCATCAGGACATGGCTCCTGCCACACACAGCCACGCATCACAATCAGGTTTTGCAGTCTGAGAGGCTGTTCCTGTCTCCAAAACTTCAAAAGAAGAAAATAAAGGAACACTGACTCTGGAATCAAATGGAATAAAATGCACAGCAAGGAGTTGATGGGGTTTTTATGGGTTTTGTAAAATAAACCAAAGAAGCTTAATCATGAGGGTTCAAAAGTCCAGACACAAATCTTTCAGTGTTATTGTTTACACCATATTAGAAATAACCTATTTCCTCCACCATTTGATAGCGTACATGAGAAGTATGGAGTTCAAAAAAAAAAATGGCTTTTAGAAGACTTGAGAAGTCTCATATGCAGTATTTCTTAAGTAACTTTCTGTTGTGAAGTAATATGCACTAAAAAGAAGAATAAAGAATATCATTAAAATTTTCTGTGAATAAAATAAACAATATTTTACTGGAAAAAGCAGATTCAATTACATTTGAAAGATAATGCTAGGCCTGCTTGGAAACAAAGAGAAAACGTCAACTGATAGAACAGGAATGGGTATGGATGACCTGCCACCTGCTGTAAATAAAATTTTATTAGAACACATCAGTGCTCATTTGTTTACATATTTCCTGTCTTCACCCTGCAATGGAGGATAAGATTCATTACATCAAAGAATTATGGCACCCAGGGCCCAAAGTTTTAATTATATGGTGTTTTCCAGAGATGTTTACTAAGCTCTTTCATGGATTTGTAGGAAAGCTTTCAGGTTATGTGACCAAACCTCTCAGTAGGCCAGTGAAAAAACTGAAACCAGGTTTAGTTACGTGTAGGAGTTCTGCTCTCTATGTCCAAATCATCCTCCTCAACAGGGAAGAGGAGGAAAGAGTTGATCTCAGATGCCTGCTCCAATTGACTGGAAGCCACCAGCTGGCAGGCTGCTTGCACAGGACTCACTGAGAAGCAAAGCCATGACTGGTGGTTCTCCCCTAGGCCAGGAGTGGGACAGCACCCATTCAAGGGGTGTGTGAATCATGCATTGGCACTGGTCACTTCTCATGTCACACACTTCCGTTGCTGCCTCTCTTCTTATACACAGTGTGGTCAAAATATCCAGCAAATGTTTAAATGTAAAAATGTATTACAATGGGGCTGGGGATTTAGCTCAGCGGCATAAGCGCCTGCCTTGCAAGCAGGCAGTCGTGAGTTCGATCCCTGGTACCGATCAAAAGGAAAAAGACCAAAAAAAAAAAAAGTATTACAATAAAAGACCCATTGCCATTAAATCCCCTCAGAATGCCCCCCACTCCCCACATCTAGAACACATTCTTCTCCTTTCCTGAAGCAGGACTAGAAATCTTCTTTCAGGAGCTTCTCCAGGTGTGCTGTTTCGGCTGCCTCAATGTGCTGAACTGGTTCAAAGCATTCACCTCTCTTAGTTGCTTGGACTTGGAGAGTGATCTAGAAGTCTCAAGTGTCAGCTACAATGAATGAGCTGTCAGAGAAGGCAATGATTTTGCAAGCCTGTGTTTTCAGCAGCAGCAGCAGCATTTGTAGTATTTTTTTAAAATCACATCTGGTGTGGACACTCATGAAAGTGGACTTCCAGAACTGCTTCAGGAAGTGGCAAAAAAAAAAAAAAAACAAAAAAAAAACAAGTGTGTTGTCCAAAGCTAGGGGAATATTTTGAGGGTGATTAATGGCAACATAATAAATATTTTTTCAGTTTATACAGTTACTGTGTATGTTGATCACGTCTGGTCCGCCTGCTGTAAAAGCCCTTTATCCAAGTGCAGGTGATAGATGCCCCCTGCACGGGGTATGTAGACATCTCTCTTTGCATCATGTTCTGCCTAGAAGAGTTTAACTTGTAATTTCACTCGAACTGGATATGTCAGTTACAGGAATCATCTCTTACTGTAAATATGTCCATGGGTCCAAAGTAGGGAGTACAAAGCAAAAATCCATGTGTTTATTGACTTTTGTGATCCAAACTGAAAGCCTCCATGTTTGTGCTTTTGTGCTTTTGTGCAGCTGGACAACCCAGATGAGCAGGCGGCCCAGATCAGACGGGAGCTGGATGGACGTCTCCAAATGGCAGACCAAATAGCCAGGGTAAGGCAGTGCTGGGAGTGTTTGCTGGGGACCAGGCCAAGTCCAACGCAAGAGGAACACTGATTATTAGAGCCTTTAAAAGTCAGAGTTAAGCAGGCAGGAAGAAGGTAAGGACATCACCCTGATTCCTGCTCAAGATGTCACACAGATAATTACCATTCGTATTTACCTCCCAAGCTCCTGCAAATATCCAAACACAGGCCCCTGCCTTGGTCCCAAGTTCCAGGCTCTTATTTCCACTAACCACTGATTGAGACAGTTTCAGGCTGAATGTGTTCAAATTCAGGCTCCTCATCCACCCACCTACACTTAGTCCCTACATCCCTGCATTTACCGCAGCTCCTCTGCATCCAGTTACTCTGGGCAGAGCCTCCTGGGCATTGTCAGCTTCCACTACCGCCTCCCAGCACCCCAGTGGCTGGAGGTTCTCGGCTGCTTTCCTGCCCTGCTCCTATGCTGACCCAAGGCCCAGCTTCCTCTGATCTTGCTTCCCTACACTGGCTCATACTGCACACAGTTGCCTTTCTAAAACTCATACTCAAACGCCTAAAAACGAGACCCTGAATCCTTTGCTCGTCTTTCCAGGGCCCCAGAACATAGTCTGACCTCTTTGGGTTGATGTTCAAGGCTCCTAATCAACAGACTACACACTTCTGTCTGAGTCTCCTGTCTCCCAGCTTTCCCACCACATCTCCCCAGTCCGAGAGCCTGGAGGACTGTCTCCCCCCATGGTACTCACACGCACTGCCCGTCCCCTTCATTACAGCAGTCTTTATTTATTTATTTGGTACTGGGAATCAAACTCAGGTGCTTGCCAGGCAGGTCCTGTGCCTTTGAGCTACATGCCCAGCCCTCCAGATTTGATTATTGAGTGGAAACCATTGATTTTTCTTCTGTGAGTCTCCCAGGGCTTGAATTCTTTCTTATATGACGAAAGCCACATGGTGTCTACCATTTGCTGCCATTGTCGTCTGTGCTGTGATTAGTACTCCCTGCAGTCATAGTATTCATGGGGACCTGATCCTGTGTTAGGCATGACGAATGCTTTATATGTGTCATCTGTGTCAGTTCTCAAAATAGCACCCCAAAGACATTTCTGTTATCCTCTTTGCTTTAGAAATAGGGAAATGCCAACTCAGCATGCCAGACAATCAGAAAGGGGCCAGACCAGACACCAACCCAGGTCTCTCTGAACATCAGAGCCAGGGCCCGCTTGGGTATCTGAACACAGAGGTGCCTTCCTGGGTGTAGAATATAAAAGGAGCCCAGAAACTCAGCCACCAAAATAAATAACACTTTAATGAAATGCTTCTCTGTCATAATTAGTACCCACTACCAGCTCCTTGGGGCTCTTCCTATAGCCACGGTCTGTATGCACGAGGGAGCAGCTTCCAGGAATGGCAGGAAGGCTGAGCAGGAGGGACCTTGATAGTCACCCCTAGAGGAGTCTCCACATGTGGACAGATAGAAGCTTATCCTCATGGGAGGAAAACCAAGAAGAGGAAGGGCAATTCCCCAATTTCTGCTCAGGCAATTTTGCTGAAATGTTTCATGTCTAGATTTTGGGCACCTTTAAACTTTATAGCCATGTCAGTCTCATGGCTAAAAGTAGCATACAGGTACAGATTTGGCTAAAGGTAAAGTAGAAAAGCTCTTATGTTTTAAAACCCTGCTTAACATGGCATAAACATCAGTAAGGCTTTAAAATTTAGAATTCCTCTAAACTTGGCATTTTCTACTAGTAGACTGTCTAGAAAATGTCACTTGGTCCATTCTTTTGTGTTCTAAACAACTGGTCCACTGTCAGCTAGTAAGTGTTCACCCCTTGTAAATGAAATTATGTACATGCTTCAAAAACAAGTTCATGACAGGCTTTATTTTAATTGTTTTGTTTACTTTGAGGCTTAACATGATAATTTATGAAACTCACGTTAGGCTAGTTTCCATTTTTAGAGGATGGCAGTTGAGTACTTAGTATATGATGAGCCAAAATATTCACTTTTGAACAGATCCAAGACCTCCCTTCCCTTACCTGTACCCTAACTATTCTAATGCTAAGCAGAATGTTATTGACAACTCAGAATCTTACTTTTTGGATAATGAAATAAGCAACTAAAGTGAATCTTGGTTTTTATTTAGCATAAGGCTAATACTTTCAAAATGAATGGCAGGTACTCAAACATTTAAGGTATGAATTTCTATGAGGTAATCTCACTTTTATGTCCTACTTTTCTAGAAAAAAAATTGTTTGTGTGCGACTGGGGATTCAACCAAGGCCCTTTTGGCTGAGCTACAGCCCTAGCACCCCACCCCATTTTTGTATTTTTTTATTTTGAGACAGAGTCTAAGTCCATAAAGGACCCAGGCTGGACCTGAACTTATGATCCTTCTGCTTCAGCCCCCCAGAGTGCTGAGATTAAAGGTGTGCGCCACCACAGCCAGCATTTCTCTAAAAATTGATTCTCTTCTGCAGTGCTCTTTTCTAACACTGGCTCCTTTGTTACCGCCAGTTGTTCTTAGAGTTAGTTCTTCACCTTGGAGAACCAGTCAGAGTCCCCAGACTGCCTGGCATGAGTGAGTGGTTCCTAAATAGATGCATGTGGCAAGGTAAAATGAGAAATGCCTTTCCAGAGCCTGTATCCTGCAGCCTGCTAGACTTCATTCCAGGTACAGGGAGATGTCTGCAGCTGTGCTAAAGCTGGGAAACCCCGAAAGAATGAAGCTGTCATGGAGGAGAAACAGAGACAGGGCAGCTACTGAGATGCCAAGCAGTCCTCAGGATGTTTACACACCTCTTCTCAATTATTTTTGGGTCTTAGTGGTGTCTCTGCTTTGCCCACAATTTCATTGGATCCTAAGAAAAACAAACTCTCTCTGTATCTAAATCAGGCTGGTACTGGGGAAACTGAGGAATATCTCATCTATTAAAAGTTAATTAAAATATCAAGATCATGGATATTGGCTATACCATGGGGAGACATCACTGCCAGGCACCACTGCTTGTCTTCCTTTAGCGTGCCCTGATCTTCCGTTTCCAGCATCACAGTGAATTTTAGTGAAGATGTGCCATTCCATCCCCATGGCTGGATGTCAGCTCCTATGCATAGTAAACCAGAAATCCTTGGATAGAGATGTCACCCTTCATGTATAATTCATTCCCTGCCTTACAGGTGGGTGATGGCGGGAAGCACTTGAGATTGTAAGTGAGAGGCATCAACAGGAAGTAACTTACGGTAGAAAGGGGAGGATGATTTTAGAAAATGTGAAGCCCGAGGGCAAAGGATAGCCAAGTCCAGGAAAGGACAGGAAACAGGACTTTCTGTCCACCTCCCTTCTCTCCATGTCACATTTGTTCTCCACTCTTCCTCAGCAAACCAGCCTCCTCTGCTTTTCACGTGGCAAATGTAGCTACCCCACAGCTCCACATGCCTCTGATCTACACAAATGGGGGCCAATCAGTCCCTATCTAAAATCTTTCTTCTTTCCCTTTTCTACTCTTTCAATCTCATCATTCCAAGAATTGGACCTTGATTGCCCTAACTTGGTTAGAAATCAACCAGTGCACTGTGCCAAAAAGGTGAGGGTCTCCTTGGCACATGGATCCTGAAGATGAGTCCAAGTGATACCTAAGGGTAGTGCAATGGGTAGAGTGCCGTTACAAACTTAGGGATACCCAGATGTACCTGATGCATGCATGTGGTCACCCCCATGCCGTCCATATTGATGGGGAAATGCTGGAGTGGCCTCTCAGTGGTCACCAGCCCTCATTATGTCTGTATTCTCTTCTAAGAAGCTTATGTTTGATAACCTGTCTAACCCTCAAACAGCTTCTAACAAAGGCACTATTTATCACCATTCTTAGACAAGGAAGTTCTAGTAGGAGATGCTGGAGGACTATGTAAGGTCACTCCGTGAGCAGAGCCTGCATCCTTTACTAAAATGCATGCTACCGTTATGAAATTCCCAAATGCTGATCCTCCTTTTTCTCATCATGCCAATCTGAAAATCTAGTCTGCCCTTTGCTCAGTGTTACCATCCCCCATCTTTACCTCTTTCCTCGCTGATCAGCCCTGTATTAAACATACCAGGCACTGACTGTACAGTTTCACATCAGTTCTCATTGAAGCCCGTGATACATGATCCTTGAGGTCACAAAATTGTCCACCACTTAGCCAGTTGAAGCAGACTGACCCCTTCCTCTTCACTCTCCACATTTCACCCCACCCTACTCATATTGGCTAGGAAGGGGAGGAGTGGTCATTACTGTGGAGGACTTGGAGGTCACTAGCCCTCTGCTGAGTTAAAGTGATGTGCTCAGTTTCATTCAGCTAAGAAACAGGAAGCTAATCCTCCAATTCCAAGTTTCAGGCTGTTTCTTTAGAGTAATCAAATGATAGACAAGAAATTACTCCAGAGCAAGACTGTTCACCAGTCCTCTCTCCTTGATTACTAACTCTCCAAGAAACAGCCTTCCTCTCTCCACTAAGATCCGCTGTGTACGCCATTTAGTTTATCTAGAAGCCCAAATAAGAGAGCAGCACTAAGTGGAACTGACTTCTGCTATTCAGAATTCTCTTGACTTTGATTTTTCTGGAATCTGTACAGGAGATTATAAAGACCCCTAGGTTTTTTTCAAGAGCATTCTTAGCATCAGATACTTCTACTGAAAGCCTATGTTTCTTCTCCCTCCTGGGAGATAGAAAGGCAGGAAAATGTCCACTGTCTCCACAACCTTGCATTATCACCCACCCATTCATCATACCAGCACCCCACAGACTATTAGCCAGAGACAGCTCGCTGCAGAAGAGCATCAGCAAAGACTTCACTATGAACGTCAGTCACGCTGCCTTAAAAGTTCCAGGAAAAGACCTGAATACGTATTTTAAAAATCTGGTAGGAAAATACTTTAATACTTTTAAAATCCCTGTTGAAACATTTTCTCAAATCTTCTCATGTTGACATTAAAACGTCCCCAAATTTGACCTGGGAATTAAGTCTAA